CCATAATTAATTAGAGGGTTTACGTTTGCTAAGAAATTTATTTAAGAAAACGACGTTGCACGATTCTTTCTTAATAAATAACTATATTAATAAATAAAAAGTATTACAAATGTATGTTTTCTACCATTCAACTTTTTAATCAATTTTGTGCTTTTCTATAACAATAGATATTATAGTTTGGAAACAATTTACTTTAGGAATCGAACAATATTTAGATACTTACTTTCCAATAACATTTATCTTTTTCCCCAGTAGCATTGCAGAATATATGCATCAGTTAATTAAGATACCGTGTCCTTTTGAAACGAACAATTTATTGGCGTACAGTACGGTAGTCTATTACACAATTACTCTCAGCTTATCTCGCGAGTTACGTCATTATGCTTTCTAACTTTTAGTATTACAATTTGTCCACGTAAGTTAAACGTATTGATTACTTGACTACAACGATTAATAATAATATTAACATTTTTCGATGAAATGGTAAATGATACAAATTGTCTGATTACAGTAGCATATACTTATGGCTAAACAATATGTGAAATATATCATATGCACGCGTTTTGATAGTTTCGTATTTTCATAGCAAGACAAGCTTCTTTTATATCTTATTTTTTATATAAATTGTTTGAATCTGTAATTTTCAATAGAATAGAGCATGAAACATAAAACAGTTACAAAATGTAGTGAAATTTCAATACTTTATTAAGGATGTTGCGTAGTTTCGATTTTAAGCGTAACTTTCCTTTATATGACTAACCATCAGCCTGGACAGAACCGGATTCTTCCTTTATTTTTATCTTTTACTAAAATCAAAAGCGTATCAGGTTCTTACGATGAAATATGTATGCTTATACATTATGGATAAGAGAAATTTCTTGAAAATAAGTTTCTTAATAGTACATTATAGACAACAGGAATAAATATATTTTACCGCAATATTTGTTTTTAATATATGCCTTCTATCAAAACTCTATAAAAATCAGACCAATTAAGCAATTCATTTTTTAGTAAGGAAACTATAAAGTTCCATACGTTCGTACATTGACGAATACTTTACTATGTCATTGCATATTAATGCCATCTTAAAAAAGTTTCAAGACAAAAATTGCTATTACTATTAATGAAACATAAGAAATAGATAAATTTTTCAATAATGTCAGTTTCGGAATTTTCGTGGACAAACCAAGAAAATTTATCACGTTGTTCCATTTAATTTTTTAATCACAGTATCGAGTAAATATGATATATAAAAATGTAAAGAATGCTCAAAGTAAAATATTCGTTATAATATTTGTTGGATGAAACACATCTCTACTTTTATATTCCATTTCATCAGTCATGTTCTCAAAACTATGAAATTCTATGAATATCCGAAGTTTTGTAATAACACGATAAATTTAGTTTGTGAAGATATACATACAATTCTTGCACGTTTCGCGTAATGAGATCTATTTTTTCGTGAAAATATCGAGATTAACCTGGTTTTCTATCGATGCTCACTGTCGACCAGGTACCAGTTACATTTTATGGCGTTCTTGCTATAACTACCACATACTACTGCCACCGATGTGTCGTACCTTCTTTGAATGCGTAACTTATCGTCGCTGGTACAGAATTTTTCCTTCAACCGATAGAACCGTGGTTCTATTGCCACGAATGTAGAATACGCTCACGATAAAGGAAGTTCAGTTCACGTGGTTGAATACCGAAGTACAGATTGGAAACTTTGATCGTCGAACGATAGTGCGGGTATTGTCATTGTTGTGCCATAGTTTAACTTCTTTTTATAAATAAAATTTCTTCATCCTATGTATGCTAGTTTTATAAAAACAGGAGTATATTAGATAATGGAAAAATATATTCTTTTGCATCTTTTTTAGGCAATAAATTTTCTGAATAAATTTATTCCTTGTTTCTTTACAAGAATACATATCTTTATGTAAGATCATATAAGATTATGTATTATGCAATATTACGTAAGATAAATGCGATATAATATTTCACGTTGTTCAATATTTTACATAAAAATCATCATGTACAACGGAAATAATAATAAATATGAACAGTAATAAGAAATAATTTTGTGACAAAGCTGTAATATTCTCCGTTAACGATGATTTCCTTCTTCTTTTGTGGTTTCCAGATAACGTGAACTTAAACTTCACAAGTATTCCACGATGATTTACATCTCCGGTAAATATTGTTCGCAACGTTAGACGTTGTGGTAATATCTCGGAAAGGAAATGATAGTAAGCGACCGATGGAATGGAACAGGTGGTTTTTTATTCAACTTTCGCACGCGACTATTCGCCGCGGATGCAACTGCCTATGAAAAGTAACTGCCATTACTGCAGGTGCACGAAGCTGGCATTGGACATCACGGCCATTGCCAAGCGATCGTTATGAGAGCTTAGTTGAGATTACACCGTTATCAGCAGTCGCGCTTTTGACATCGGGCTAAACCACAAAAACCACAATATTACCTTTTATCGTGCAATGCGGAAGACTTTCAATACGTGGAAGAAAGTTTCCTTGCATTTTTTTTTCTTTTGTTTTTTTGTTCCTTTCTCTGCTTGGAACGCAACAAGGTTAGAACTCTTCTTCGTTATAAAGGATCATTTACCGGAAGAAACTGGGCGCGATGAAGAATAATGACATCGTTGTTCGAAAAGGGAGCGATAGAGGGGTAACGGAGTTGGCAACGCACTCGTACTTGAAACGAGATCTCAAGTAATTACGTAGAAAATAAGAAACGACAAAACACTGGACCGAGGAAGACCTGGAAGACATTTTACGTAATTGTGGATAATACGGGAGCATGATCAAAAAGAGTTTAATTCTAGACGACGAACCCTTGTATTCTCTTGTTCCTTTTTTTCAATTTTCTAACAAATCTGCTTTTTTCAGCCAGAAGGATAATGAAGTTCCTCGAATTCAGAGCATTCGTTATTCATAATCCTCGCGCAGTTTAAAATAATATTTCCATAAAATGGTAGTTCTAGGATCACTCAATACTCTGTGTTTTCAATCTAGTTGTAGATTCTTTCACAGCGATAGAACGCTATCCTACATTCATCCCGCTTTTCATTAATCTGAATTTCTCCGCATTCAATCCCCTTCCTTTTAATTCCTTGCGCTTTGCTAATGAATATTTCTGTCGATTCTTATTATTAACTATTTCTCGTTGGAAGAAACCGAGCCGTCGGATTATTAGCGTCTGCAATAGAGAAATATTTCGTAAACAATAGAAAAAGTTCTCAGAAAACATACAAATGTGTACAGAAGCAGTATACGAGGCAAAGTCTCAGAAAGTTGCGAATGAAAAATAAAAAGAACGTGTAATTTTTATAATTCGAAATAAAATACTCGTATTGCCATTCCCAAGGAGAAATGGTTTTGTACATTAAATATTTGTAGCTGTAGCATATCTTATATCTTCGAAAATCGTTTTACATCTTATCATTTAATAATTAAATATTTTTATTATTTTTTACGTGTTTATCCGGCTTTTAAAAATACAATTCCATTTTCCTCTCAGGCTTTGCCCTCGTAACGAATGTAATTATAGCCTGCAGTTTAAAACTGCCTGACTGACAGGCCCGGAATTATTTTTACCAGTTGCCCTGTACATCGAACATTCCTTGCTTCGTGGTGAAAAATGAAGAAACAATCCACCGAGACGACTGTTAGCACAGGACGTGCTCCGAGTGAACGCATGAGAAATCGTATCAGCTACCGTACACGAAAACGAAATAAAAACCTCAGCTATTTCAGTCTCTTCATAAAAGATTAAAGAAAGATGAAGCGACGGCAGGGACACTGATTCAGCATTTAATGAAGATTTAGCAAGCGTTTCGTCTCGACGTGGCAACGTAACGTTCAATTTTAAAATGAGCATGTATAAAACAAAGTTATGCTTTATGGTTATACGGTTGTAGGCTGCAAATAAGTTTTTTCATATCTATTTTCAACAATTTAAAATTATATAATGTTAAACCATTCCGGAGAGTGGGTATTTTTTCCCCCGTCAAGGAGATCATACGAATGATGCCTATGCAAGAGATTATAGGTCATGTATCATACATGCAAATTATTCTTATGCTCGTCGTTATAAAAAGAAATACCCACTTGGATATAATGTAATATCGGATGCGAAACGTATCAGTATATTATGAAGAAAGATTTTTAAAAATCGCAGTACACTCCGGCTATAATTCTCCATACGTCCCGTTATATTTTATGTACGATTATTCGATGAATTAAATTTTCGACAGAAAGGCCAACTATTTTTATAAGAAAGTTGTTGTAGTTCTGTTCGGGTTGTAGTTTGAAAACGACATACATATATAAATTGAAAATACATAAGAAAATTAATTATTCTTATTCCTTGCTGTAATTCATTTAAAATCACCAAAGTAGTAATTTAAACAATTTCACGAAGTAGTTACTTATAACGATAAATAATAACAAAGGAAATAATAAATAGAGAATATACGCTGGAAACACGTACGTGGAAGTTTTGAGGGTAGCGGGAATATCTCACTTTACAAATGCCGAAAATTTAGAAAAATACATTCCTGTCTGAAAACCTATTAACGTGCGACTTATAACAAATTTATAGTATCCGCAGACGCGATAGAAAAATATACAATGAAATATATTAAAAGCTTCCGTAAAATTATGTAGGGGAAATATCTTGAAATTTACCGCGAACGAACGCTATCGACGTTTCCTGTTTCAATATTCATTTACGCATATCGTTGCGCATCGCGTAACTTGAAGCATCCGCTACGAACCTGCACTGTTCACCAATACTTCCTAATAAATAACAGAACATTTAATCGTAGCAACGAATACGAACAGCGTCCCGGACGTATCCTGGACATAACGATTACTAAATTTTCTTTAATGTCTTGTAGATGTGGATGACGCTACGCGCGTCATTCGAATTCCTCGATGATTTGAAAAAAAAAAAAAAAAAAGAAAAGGTGGAAAGATTAAACGAATAGGTAAGGTAATTTATTAACAGCTATAAAAGGTTAATTAAGACAGCCCGGTGGCAACATTCAGCTGATGTTTGAAGAGAATTCCGGAACGATCGTGGAGCTACGAGCGAGAGTGTGGTCGTCAGTGTGTCCGCGATAAGAGTTGTCAGAGTGGTTCCGAGCGATCAGTACCGAAGACGGTCCACTTCACGTCTCGCTCGAGAGACTTCCTCTCTCGAAAGCTGCCGAGTAAATAAAGAGTTCAATGGGCCGCGTGGTCGTTTCGGAATGACAAGAAAATACCTTGAATTCCATCGTTACGTTCTTCCTTCTTCGCCATCTTGATCGTCTCTCTTTGCACGCGCTGCCTTATTTCGTTTTTTTCTCTTTCGTTAGAGGAACAGCGACATGGAGCAGAAGCAGCAGCAGCAATGGCAGCGGAGGATCGGACGAGGAAGGAGGAAGACGGTTGGTGAAACTGATTGTTCTGGTCGTATCCGGAGGTCGAATAACATCCTTAGATCAGCCAGGACGCATTGTGCCACGGATGAAGTGAACGCGCAAAGTGTTCATCGAACGTGGAATTCGCTTCGGAAATGAGATCCGAAACTCGTTTTCAAGTTCGCGGAAAAATTTAATTCTACGTTTCAGCTGAACGTCGACGATACTTGCGAGAGTTAGCCTTGGGTGGAACGATCGAAATTTTACAGAAGGCAAGGAGAAAAGTAATTATTAGTTCGTATTAAGCAGGCCAACTTACTTATTGCGTTTTTGATGGTGTTTCACGAAGCATGCGATAGGCTACAGAGAATAGACGAAAGACTTTTTTATTCGAATCTTGAAGGATTCTTAATATATCTACGGATCTTTAAAAAATCAGTAATTAATTATGTTAGATTTATGTTATATTACATTTCTCTTAAGGTGGTACCTATAATATTATATACGATTTATGCATGGTTTATTTTAAATAATCATTCATTACGTACAATTTATACGCTTTACATTTTTAATACTATTTTAAATAATCGTTTAGTCGACGTGTACCTGTATGAATATTGCTACATTATTTTCAAATGCAATTAATTAAATACAATTCATTTGGAACAGAGATTTTCTTTGAATCACAGCCGTCTATAGGTTTACAGTATGGAATTTGTTGTTTAAATAATTTCTGCAGGAATTTTAATATAGTTATTTATATATTCCACTCGTAAAGAATTCCAGTAAATACGATCAGCAAACGTAAATTCTTCGCACTAACGGGCTACTTGCCTTAAGATAGAAATATACGCGCGTGCGTTTGAAAATATTTTTTGGTAAAAGGATCTCGTTCACATTTCCTTCCAAAAGAAAATATTAAACGTATGATAAGTTAATAAGGAAATTTCTCGATTAAAGCAAAAACACGTCAAAACAAATTCACCGGTGCACAAAACGTCGGCTACGTATGACACGCGCGTACAGCTTTTTCAATGTACAGTTAGGTATTTCTGACAGGAACTCATATTTTTTTCTTCTTATCATAACAGCCTCGCAAATCACGCTGTGGGAAGCATGTTAAGAACGAAATCTCAAGTTGCTCTTGTACCTCTATGTTAATCATAATAATTTTTAATCGCAAAAAGTAAAATACGATGCTCGATCCTGACCACACGCAACGACTGGGCTTTATTCCCTGAACTTGTTAAGACGGTGACATGTTATGTATTTTCCTGGAAGGCAGCTTTACCCTGTTGGCGTTCTTGTAAAGGAATTAAAATATCACTGAATATCACGCAGCGTTACGTGCCGAAACGAATAAAAAAAATATTCAAGTTCGTTTTCTCGCGTGTGATAAGCAACGCACTTGTAGCTTATACATTATGAAACGATTCACTTTTAAATATTGCGCTACATACGCGATTCAAAACACGTTCGAAATATCAACCCTCTTTCATAGCGCGATAAAATAACAACGAATTTAGAATGCACCTTTATCCTCAAGATTTTCTACATGCAAAAGATGTATGATATTAAAGCTAACGATACGTACGACATGTACGATGATATTTAAGACGTAATTAAATTTTTCAACACCGTTAAAAGATTAACATTGAACTTAAACCATAGCAAAGAATCGATTAAAAAATGTACGTGTCTGAAGCGAAGTATCTCTCTAGCTGTAACTCACGTGTGTTCATGTTAGCAAGTAGCCAGGTAATTTCAGTAAACCATTTTAACAATCGAACCTGCTATCTTCTCCTTTGTCGATTTTCTTTCTCCCTTCAGCGATTCCAATAATCCACACAATAGGAAAGCACTCGTGATGCATTCCAATTACACCGGCGAACGTATTCCATGAGCATTCTCTATTAACCAGCGATGTAGTAGCTAATAGAGGCGAAAATGGTATCGGGTATCGTTAACAATAACAGTATCTAGCCAGTAATCTATGCAGCGGAACGTTATCGTTTGGGAAGGATCGTTGAAAAGCGGTTGAAGCGAGAGCGCAAATTGGCGAGCTCGTGCCAAGCGACGAGACACCCTCGAATCCGGTGCTAAGATCTTTCGATTAATTCGTCGCCGACGTCTGTCGTTTCCCAGAAACCCGCGAGAAGAGGCGTTGCTCTTATACGCGCTATCGTTTGCCACTCGCGAGTCTCACGAACGACCACGTTCTTCTTAATTCACCGGAAGGTGTTTCAACTTTAATCCGAAAAGTGCCATTAGGATTGACTAAACGCCTGGCACAGACCAACCGTAAAGTTCCAAGTGCAAAGTCTACTATAACCATCCCCTATCCCCGAGTCTTCCGAGTTCTTCGTTCAACCAAGCTGCCACTCTTACTAACCCCGAAGAAAAAGAATCCATCCCGGTCTTCTTTGTTACCAACGAATATCGAGGCCTTAGGCAGACAGCGGAATCTTCCAGATAACAAGAAGACGCTTTCGCTTGGTACATCGAAGGATCGCGGAAACGGAAGCTCGGCGACATTCGCTTTAAATGTAGAGAGTCGCGTCAGATATCGCGTACGTGTGTAGATATATACGTATATACGCATGCATACGTACAAGGACGTACTCGTATCTGATACTTGCGCGTTAATGGTCTCGAGGAGATGCAGTTTCGTCTTTGGTGCTTCACGTGTATCGACGCTCGTCCAACGCATTTATTGAATAACGTAGTAATCGTTTTACTTGTTTCGTAAATATACGGTGGTCATGAAAAGTATCGCCCAGGATGCGGGTTTTTATGCGTTATGACCAAAGGTGCGAAAATGTACAGATTGCATGTAATATGGAAAAAAGGATGAAATATTTAGAATACAGTACTTGTTAGGATATTTATTGCGTGAAATAGTTTTCCGCATGGGCTCCACCTTTTTAGTCGTGTTTATAGAAATATGAATTTGCATAAATATCCGCGGTCTAGTATTTGCATGTACTCTTGTTTTCCACTGAAGTATGACGAAAATCAAACATAACAAAAATGCGATGGAGGCTTCGTTTATTGAGAAAATCAAGTTATCTTTTCGTCGGGTTCTATATTTTCTTTTCAATCACATCAAATTGTTTGTAGCAATATGAAACTACTGCTAAATGATATAAAATTTGATATGTAAATGTTATAATAAGTGCAAGTTTGTGCAAATTTTTGTAGCCATTGTATTAGAAAGAATTATAGAAAAGAATATGCATTTCCTGCGATAGAACTTCGAGTTTGGTTTTCCTCTAAAATTATATTGTACGATACGGTTCATCTTAATATGTAGAAACACGTAGGTTTGTATAAGTATAGTGAGATTTCTTTCAAGATCTAGCAGAGAATGTTTGCAACTTGCACAGATTCTACTACATATAGCGAAATAATAATGGTAAATACTACACGAAATGATACGAGGTAAGCACACTTAATTGCAAACGTGATAAGGAAGTAGTAGGACGCGATGATAAAATCACTTTCATAAGATAAAACAAACAAGAATAACATAATTTTTGGACGTGTTACACTTTACATAGATATGAAAATGATAAAAGTAAGTAGTAGCGTTTATAGAATATCTGAAATGATAGTTCTTTACAAAAATTTAGAAAATACAAATTTTGTTGAATAATGTTTTATAAAATTCATACGAAATTACATATAAGGAAATATAAATATAAATAAAATATAAGGAAATATTTTTCAAACGAGAATGAAATGAATTAACCACACAAATAAATAATACTATCTGATTTATTATATTATAAATATAAATATATATATTATATATTATAAATATAAAATTTTACTAAAATCAAAGTAAATCAACAACAAAGAACACTATATCGTATGTTTGTTGATATCTTGGTAAATATATACATTTTTTAAAGAAATGCGATAATTGGATATCAATGGTCAAGGTTTCTATGTAATGTACACAGTAAATTTATTCTGCTGATGTCGTTTACGCAGAATTCCTATCGGCCAATACACAAACACACATGCTCGACATATAGATACGTGTATCGACAATAATGAAAGAGCAGGTGAACAGGAATTTCTTTTTCCTGGAACGTGACATAGGGTTCGAAATGTGACTGTATACTATATACGAAGGTAAACGGGTTGCAAACACCACTTCAGCTGAACTTATAACTAAAACGTCGATGAATTATTCAAGGAGACACTCAACTGAATAATTGATACACATGAGAAGTCAATGGGCGCATATACATATGTATCTATGTAGTATGCATACGTATGCTCGCGGTTCACTTTGCAAGCCAACGAAAGTATGCTTTCTGAACGTTTAGCAGCTGCACAACATGTAAATTGCTCAATTTTATCCCCAATTAATTCTATGGCTTGACGCGTCTCTCGAAGCAATGAGGAGAAAATTACTGCACGAGACACATGATTTTGAATTATGTTTTCGTTAAGTTCAATTTCGATTTGAAACTGTTATGTTCGTTTTATATTTTTATACTTCGTCCGTTTGAAATAATGACAAAATTAATGGTGCTTTCGCCGTTTCATTTTCATTCTACTTTTTTGTTACTTTTCATACAAATAGAGTTACTTATTCTTTCTTCAGCATATAATAATTTAGTAATAAATATATCTCTTCTTTAATGTTTGTATTTTTCTATTTTTGACAGCCTAATTACGATAAATAAGTTGCTACTAATGCAACTATTATCACTTATTTTTATTTCAATAATTTTATTCTTGTATTACATAGGCATTGCACACGTACACCTGATATTGGCACTTATTTTTACTGTGCATCAAATTTTTGTATCTTCCTATGTTTTAATTCATCAAATGACGCAATTAATTAAACAAAAATATATAATATTATAAACATTATATATATAATGATATATTTTTTGTACAGGACGAACAAGATAAATATATCGTACAGAAATGTCGATTATTTCTACAGATGGTATAGAATTTTTATCACAGATTATTGATCGTAAATATTAACAGTAAAAGATACTTAAATTCCCAAAATTCCGTCCTAAATACTGCAAAGTTCTGCTCTCGCTATAGCTGAACTCCACAAAATTGAAATTAGGGGATCCACGATCCTGAGGCTGCTGGGACATTGCTGATGATAAGCATTCTGTGGTTTCGTGGAATCTCAATATTGAGCTGTCAT